GACAAGTATATGCGCAAGGATGACTGGTATGTCTGGGTGGGCATGAACAAGGGTCATGTGACGCTGCCCGTCTTCCAATCGCTTGAGTCCTTCTGGCCAGGCATACTGAGCATTGTGGGCGACACGGAGCCCGCCATGCGCACCATGACACGCTACATAAGCGTGTGGAAGAAATATGGCTTTCTGCCCGAATTCTTTAACATTCCAGCCGGCGAAGCGGCACCCAATCGTGAGGTCTATCCACTGCGCCCGGAGCTCATCGAGTCGGCGATGTACCTGTATCGGGCAACCAAAAACCAATATCTGCTCGAGCTTGGCGAGCACATGCTGGAGACCATTGAGTTCAGTGCCAAAACCAAGTGCGGCTATGCGACGGTGAGTAATACTTGCTTTAATTGAGATTGAGGCTCTCTAGAGATTAACTCCTTCTTGCCATACCCAACAGATACGCAATGTGGTGACCCACGAGAAGGAGAATCGCATGGAGTCATTCTTTCTGGCCGAGACGACCAAATATCTCTATCTGCTGTTCGATGAGGATAACTTTCTGCACAACGATGGCGAAGACAGACATGGCGAGCTGCTGGACACCGAGGAGAACGTGTGCGTGGTGCAGGCAGGCGCCTATATCTTCAACACCGAGGCACATCCCATGGACATGTCGGCTCTGCACTGTTGTCACAATTACAAAGAAGACATCTTCACGATGCTCGACCTGCCCAGCTTTACGTCCAGGGCGCTCTTCGAGCGCACCAGCAAACAGCGTGTGGCGAAGCAGGCGAAATGGAAGCCGCAGTGTCAGCCGAGCAAAGGCGACGCCAACTTTGAGTCGTCCCACGAGCCGGGCAGCTCACAAAATAGCCATGACCGGCCCAGCACAACCATGGCCGTGGACATTGAGGTGTTCGATGAGTTCCAGCAGCCGGCGGCGGATGTCCTGGTTAGCAATTTCGAGCGCATACGCGAGGAGCGCGAATACAATCGAACGGAACAAACGAGCATGGTGGCACGCAATCAGCTGACCGTCAGCGATCTGGATGGCTTCTTTGGGCAGCGTCGCGAGCATTTCGCCAATGCCGAGGACACGCTCAGCTATGTGCTCAACTTTATGGGCAACTACACAATGGACGTGGCGTTCATCCGTGGCCTACAGCTTTTCGATGGCAACATTAGCAGCGTGCTGGGCGTTGCCGCCCAAAAGGAGTACGAGAGTCGGATGCGCTCGCTGTGGCAGCTCTTCGAGCTGGAACAGCAGTATGCGGTCAACATACGACTAATCCGGCGCTTGGGCCTGCTCAACATACAGCCCGACAGCGATATGATGCGCAACTATTTAACCAATATACTGGACACACTCGATCATTTCGAGCAGCTGCAGCCGCAGTTCTCCTACAATGGCACACTCAGTCGCCAGGCCAACGATAGCGACGTGGAGCTGATACGCAATGCCATACACGCGGCGCGGCTGGACTACGAGCTGGCCATGATGAACACAACGGCCATGCAGGAGTTTGTGCATCGTGTCTATCTAATGGGCACCAATGAGGCGCAAACGCTGCACTTTCAGCCGCTGCTCAACGCCGACGAACTGGGCACCCTGCACGTGGTCGAGCTGCAGCCGGCCGAGCAGCGGGAACTCTTCAAATATACGCGGCGCATCGTGGACTTTCGCAAGCGCATGTCCGAGACGGTCGATCGGCTGCAGACGATCATGCAGGATCTGAATGCGCCCAAGACCGAAACGACAACGTCTGTCCCGGCGCCGGCGCCGGCTCCGATGCAGCCGCTGGCAATTAGCTCCCCGCCCACCGCAACACCAGACTTGTCCACGGCACAGAAACAGCAGCAGCAGCAGCCGCCGGTGCCGCCTACGCAGCAGCAGCAGCAGCCGGATGAGGGTTCCGTTTGGTCACAATTGGTGCAAAACATTTTGCGCAAAACAACCGTGCAACGGATCAAATTTGATGAGGACGTGCTCCTGGAGAAGACGCGACAATCTCTCGAAAAACATGCCCACAAGCAATTGTCCTATGAGCTGTTCAGCTGTCGCCGCCCGGAGTACATTGAGGCGTTCGCCTATCGTGAACACTATCCGGAGGCGATCTGAGCTGGCCGCATGACTGATCTGTAGATATTTAGATATATATGCACACACCTATATATATATATATATTTATATATATGCATAGTATATAAGGTTAGGCGGATTCGCAATTGTTGTGTGGTTAACAACAAATCAATTTGTTTATGCGATTATGTAATTTATTAACACTTATGTACATGCCACTATACTCAACACAGCGATAGATTTTCAAGTGTGCGTGCTTGTTCGTGTGTATGTGTGTGTGTGTGTCAGCATGCGTGTATTTGTCTATCTGTGTGAGTTATTTGTCCGTGTGTTGGTTTGTTTGGTCTGTGTGCGTGTTTGTTCCCTTTCTTTTTGGGTTGTAATTAATTTCATTGACTGTTGACTTTCTGCCTGATTAAATTGGTGTATTTAATGCTTCCGATTGTTGCGAGCGATACGAAAATACAAAGGATTGCACAATTCAATCGGAATGGCCTGCGCCAGCTCCTCCTGGCCTCGGCTACTGATTCCGCTTCAGCTTCAACTGCGGCGGCACGCAATCGCATTTATTATACCCTGTACTTGCAACAGTAAGCTACGAAGGATCATCTGAAGGCAGTAGGTGAACTATTCGTATGCTGAGCGATAAGCTAAGTGGGTCGAGCGATGGATGTGCGTCTGTCTATATGGACTAGCGGCAACAAATTTGAATATATCTCGCTACTTTTCCTCGCTGACCAAATTCATTTTAGTATTCACATAAGTCTCCTTTACGCGGCAAACGCATTTTTAAATATCGCCCTTCTATGCGATTTTCATGGACTTAAGGAAAGTAGACACTCATAGAAATGTACCAAAACTTGCTTTATTTTTTCAATGGTAAGGTTTCTATTACATTTCCGGTTATTATTTTTTTTTTTAAATTAAGATAGGACTGTAAATGTTAAATTATTATATTTATATTAAAATGTACACGTGGACAACAATACAATAAAAATTTGTAAAATATTATAAACTTTTTGGCTGGATTATGATTATAAAACTAGTAAGCATTATATAGATTAACAAAAATCGTTTAGCTTATATATTTATTTTTTCTTTTTTATTCACAACCCCACACTTACTGTACATAGCGCCCTTCTATGTGATTTTCATAACCTACTCTATGGCTTAACTTAACTTTGCTTTAAATATAAATGAAATATTTTAAAGATCTTGTGTTTTTAATACAATATTGCTGCCAATTAAGTGCCATCACCTGCCCACATTTTCTGTCCATCTCACCATCTCGCGCTCTCTCTCTCTCTCTCTCTCTCTCTCTTTCCGTTTAGCTGAAACGTTAATGCTCCATCAATAAGATGACCTGTAGATTAAGACGCGCGTATGTCAGGCTACAGGGTAACATATAGTCAGGCACGCTCGACTGGAACACTTTCACTTGTTCCAATGTTTTTATTTTCGGAAATTGCTGCATACTTCATGGGTTCGGTTCGGTTTTACTTGCGGAAACGTAACGACACAAATGACGTGAAATAAGCTGAACAGCAGCGAAAGGGAAAACTTTTTGCAGTCACGGATAACGCTAATGATAATTACGATGGTGATGATGATGATGATGATGATCAGCTTTGTCCCCGTTGCAAATAATAAATGGCTGGTGACGTTGGCGTTTCTGTCTCTCTCTCTCGCTCTCTCTGTATGTGTGTGTGTGTGTGTTTATGTAGGTCACGCCGCTGTTGCCGGCTGCCATTTGTATGCGTTTGCTTGTATATAAGTATAAGTGTGTAAACATGTATGTATATGTATATCTGTGGGTGCGTGTGTACAATGGCGAAATTGCCTGTCATGGGGTGCAGTAATAACAGAAGCAAGTACAAAGAACAACAATAACAGCAATGGCAAAAGTTTAATGAGTTCAAGTTTTATAAATGAAAAGACAGGTAGGTGTCCTTGTAGCACAAATCCCAATCAGACGTAGACGGCACGCTACGCGCCACAGACGTTGTCCTGGCCAAGCGGCATGAAGACAAATGCAGCACTGGCGAAAGGCGACGCCGACGAGGATGGCGATGGCCAGAATAACGATCACTTCGAAGGTGATCCACGTCCAATGCCCTACGCATTCGAAAAGGAGTTAATTAGCAAGTCCAATAAACACATACGCATCTGTGACGTGTTCGGGCCCCCAAACAAAGGTATGTATGTATGCATGTATGCGTGTGTCCGTTACGTTTGATCGTATCATTTTGTCTCCTTCGGTCAGACGAATGAGAATGAGAGGACGAACAAATAGAAAACTCGTTCTTTCTCTTTCTCATCCGTTGCCGAGCAGTTAACAAGACTCAAAAATCGGTTCCGCTTCTGGTTCTTTTTATTTTTTTTAACCATTACTTCAAAAAGTTCCACGTTTTCATATATGCTTATAAGTTTTATGTTTATTTATTGCTTACAGTATATCCAATCACTTCCAAATTTTACGCCAAATACGAGCAACATTCGATTTCAAAGGCGCAGGCGCAACGTCACCGGCTGCTAAATTCGCCACCGGATTATCCGTTACTGGAATCACAGATGTACGGCTGGATACCGCTACAGTGTCGAGAGGCTGCCACTTATTTAAATTGTTTACACGCACCAAAACGGCGCTGCCGTATGACTATACACGGCGAACAAATTATAGCAGGGCGAATTACAGAGCGGCCGCCGTACAATGGTTTACAATTCATATTACAATGAAAGATGTACACTCAGCAATATGTGCAATGTACAAATAAAGCTGCAATTTACTTGCAGATAATTGTCTAATGAACGTGTTTTGCTGTGCGTTGACCAGGTCTAATATTTATAGCACATTATTGCACATTTCCAGAATTAAAAAATTGAAATGCTGGCAACGCTGCAACTTGCAACAAGTTGGCAGCTCACTATTTGCGAATGTTTACTTTTTATGCTGTTCTTGCCAGAATTGTTTGTTAGAGCATATAAATTATAAAATGGACATAAAAGCTGCTAAAGATTAATAAACAAAGTACGCCACACCGCATTAATATGGTAGGCACGCAAATAACAGTCGAATGAAGTGGAACAATCAAAGTTCATGTTTTTCAGTTTTCCTCATTATCGTTGATTTCAATATATTAATTCATTAACAGACACAATCAAATAAATCCGCGCCCCGTGACAGTGCCACGGACTCGCACGCCAGCGACCAAACTAATTCTAAGGAAGACATCAACAAGGGTTCGCCTTCTCTCAATCTGGAACAACTGTTAGATGGCATATTCCATGCCCTGCAAAAACTTTGTAAGCAAAACATTTAGAAGGCCCAATGTGTATATAAACCTAATCTTTCTTTATTTAATCTATGCAGGGCTGCAGGGACGCCGCATCGCCTTCTTTATAATGTGCGAGCTGGGCGGAAATGAGCTGTTTGAAGCAGCGGCTTCCTGGTGTGTCCAACATCCAGACATTGCCATCTGTTTGCTGGCCGCCAGTTTTGTGTTCCTCTTGCCTTTGATTATAATTTTTGGCTTTGGAATTATTACCTTGGCAATCACTTTTACCGGTATTCTCGTACTGGAAGGTATTTGATGGATAATAACTTGGCAATTATTTAGAACTAGACATTATCATTTCGTTACAATTACAGGCACATTGCTGACTGTTATCTTCATGATATTTCTGGCATGCATTAGCAGTTTGGCTATTGCTGTGGGTCTGTTTGCTATTGTTGCATATTTTGGATTTTCGCAGTTTTATCTATTCTTTGGAATGGAACGTCACCGAGACGCGTTCATAAAGTTTTTAAAGGCAAATATGAGTACAGCAAATGCAAACGAATCAAACCAAAATACAACTTAAGCGGATCATTAACCTAAGTTAGTTTCCAAAGAGAAAATATGTCGAATTCCCAGTAATAAAAAGACTGTAATATGAATTTTTTTTGCCAAAGAAGTATTTATACTGTTTATCAACGTAGTTTCGATTTGCCCAGTGTTCAATTTGTCGATACATCGATAGTTTTATACAAACCATCCCTAGTATATACAAGTAGTGTTTGTTGCTGCAAGAAACTTGTGTTTAAACTTTTATTGTGAGGTGTATGCAGACTTTTTCATAAACCCTGCTTGTCAGCAGACTTTATTGTTATTGACACGGTGAGTAATCCATATACAATTATAACATATTTTGGTGGTGCGTTCTTTATAAATTATTCACTTGTAAGTAAGCTGCTTGTTGACATGCCCAATGGATGCACATGACATACAAACATATATACATATGTATGTATATATAAGCTGTAATGTTTGCTATTAGCAAGTTGTCCTCTTAGTAAAAAAAATTAAAAATATACTAACATAATTAAGTATTTGCACAGTCCTGAATAGGTCGTTGTCAAATTTTAAATTTTCAAAAACAAAATTTAAATATACTTTAAATATATACATAATAAGTTTGTATCGAGTACATTCATTAAATAATCGATTCTGAGTACAAGTTTCGCGATAACTAAATCAATCGTCCGATAGTATCGTTCAAAGTATTGCAGGTCTTTGCCATATACACACATACTTAGTTTTCGCTGGAAAATATTTTGTAATTTTCGTGTATTTCAGTGCGAGAAAATAAATAAAACCTGCTTTAAAGCAGTTTAAATTCTTATTAACGCGGTAAGTTCTTGAAGTTAAATAATTTGTATCCAAAACGTCGATTTTCCATTGAAAATAAAGAAGCTTTATGTTGGAAAAAAACTAGTGTAAAAAGAAACGTAAGAAAGCTGCCTTCGTTTATGGGAATCAAGCCACCAGCGGGGGAGTGGTAGATTCACACATACAACCATAAGCACTGTTAGTTGCAAATGTATGTTTGTATGCGTTCTCTATGTTTAAATAGTTATAAACATAAACAACGCCAGCGAGTTATGCATTCATTATTTATTATTAATTCATGAATTCTCGATTGAATGAAGAAATCTATATATATTTATGCTGTATGTATGATATATGTATGTGTGCTGGCAGGGAGCTGTCAGTTTTCTGCGCAGCATAAAACATACTTATGTACATATATATATATATATATATATACAGCAAAGTATGCAGAAAGTATGTGCTAGTGCACTTTCTCAGTGATTTGTATATATGTATGTATGTACATATGTCTATTAAAATTGCTGAAAGCAATAGAAAAACCCAAAGCGGGAATCCATTTCCGTGAAAAATGATCACTTTATTACCATTTAGTATCGCAGCATATGGCAACACTGTTAAGCTGCATTGGAGTTTGTCTCTTGTGTACTTATTTACACACATGCTCTCTCTTTCCCGATACTTCTCGCTCACTCTCGCTGCACAATGTGGTATGTATGTTCGTGCACCGCGGCCGCAACGGCGTCGTTCTCACCGTTTTCCAGTCACTTGTCTGTTTCGTTC